GTACCGACATCCTCAAACCCAGCATCTTCATTGCCATCTTGACCGCCTTCTTCAGCCTCCTCCCTCGGTCCGAATTCTCTGAAGGCCTTCACAAAGTTACTGCCATTGTCAGTGACTGTCGCCTGCACTTTTCTTTCAATGTTAAACATCTCGTGAATTTGTTGGATTTTTTCTGCAATGCATATTTTTCAATATGTGTGACGGCCCTTTATTCTGGCACATGCAAGTGCTATTGACTTTCTCTCCAGATCTTGCCCCTCTATCCAATGACATGTCATGCCGAAAAAGCTCCGATTGTGTGCTGTCCAGATGTCAGCAGTTGTGCACACATATGATACCGTCTGGAGCTTTTTTCCTTCATGGCAAGGAATCCATCTTCAATTCTTCTCATCAGGCTTTTTCGGCACATGACCGTTTTCCCTCCACTTATACCCTCAATCAGGTTCCGAAAGGCAGGTTGTTCCAAGAGGGAAAAGGACTGCACATCTTGGATGATGAAATTGAAGATAAGAGCATTCACTTTGCTCTGTGTGGTTTGATTCATGAATGTGTCCAGTCTTGGTTGTTTAGGTTGTGGTCTCTGTTCTTGATCGTCTGAGGTCCTTTTGGGTGGAATCTTCTCATACCCACCAGCATGTTTTCTCTGTAACAAACAAAACATTTAAACATATTACATACTAGATTGCCTATCCAGCCAAATACCACTATATACACTTCTGAAAACCACAAATAATACTATAGGCTACTAATGTCTATGTACACCATTTTCTAGTATGCCATGCCAATTCAATTGAAATGTTTTCCCATTTATCTTAGATTATTTGTACATTCAACACTTAAAAACAAAGATTACATAGACTGGAAACCAGACGAATGTGAGAGCATTTAATTTGCTCTTCCACATTAGTCTGGCCCCACTCCATATGAATGATATGAAGTCCGTTATCCCGACTTATTTTTTTTTTTTCGAGATAGTTACCGGTGCGCCAAGGAGGAAGTGAAGTGGAGCACACAGGAGACAACCATTTCATTGCAGACTGTTGTGTTTTTGTGGGGAAATTACAGTGCATACATTATTTGAGATATATTTCGAACTCGGACTTCATTTTAAGGACATGTCGGCCAGGGGTGTAGAGCTATTTGTTTAAGCACCGGATTGGCAAAAAATCTCTGCAGCACCAGGAGGCAGCGGGAGGGTTAACTCAGCCTCTGAGAAGAGGAGCGCGCAGTGCCTTTCACGCACCGCCTTTCACCCCTCGACTTTCACGCACCGCCTTCACTGTGTTTACCTTCAGAATCATTAGAAAGGCTAAAGAGCAACCGCAGGCTGATGTGTTTTAACCACACACACCTCTACACGAACTGCCCGATTATTCCCCCTTTTATTAGTTTTATAAAGGAGATCTCCGGTCACCAAGGCGCATGATGTGTGTGTGTGTGTGTGTGTGTGTGTGTGTGTGTGTGTGTGTGTGTGTGTGTGTGTGTGTGTGTGTGTGTTCGTTGTGTTTATTTCCCTTTTATAAAACAGTAAGGTAACTTTGTCGAAGTCGGGATAACGGACTTCATATAATTTCAACAATAAAGAGAGCAAAAAAAAGCAAACGTTGACTTACCTCCAAGTGCTTTTTGAGATTAGACGTGGAGTCCTTTGATGCAGACAGTGTATTGATAGTTGGAAGACACAAGGTACACTGGACCGTGATATTCTTCCCATGGTCTTGTTTAAAATCGAAGTGGTGTCGATATCGCCACGATGTAAACGCAGACCTTTGTTCCTCCATGTTTGGTTGTTATTGTTTCACTGAGCTGACCCGCACACTTTTTTTCAAACGCTCCCTTTATTTGGTCCATCTGCGGCGGTAATAGGTTTTGTGCGCTGTGATGATTCGGCTGTACCTTTAGTAATGAATATTAAATGTTGTGAGGAAATCTTTCCACCAATAATTCCAATAAGTAATCCAAAATGTATTCACTTCAGGTTTACGAAAGTAACTGTAATCAGATTACTCGTTTTTCAAATGTAATGCGAGCTGAATACAGTTACTTGATTTTTGTATTCTGATTACGTAACGTCGTTACATGTATTCCGTTACAACCCAACCCTGCTCATAAATCACGTGTTTCCTGCCTGGCCGCAGAAATCTTTGCCCAAGTATCATTACCTTCTCTCGTCTGGGCGCTAAGAAAGGAGCCCAAGTAAGTGCAGCAGCAGCCAACCAATTGCTGACTGTTGCTATCTGAAAAGTACTATGCCGCCGAAACATAATTTCAGCCAATCAGCTTCGTCAGATCTGATGGTCAAAGGGCTACAATTTCAGCGCCCAAGGCAGTCTGTGAGTTGTTTGGACTCGTATCCAAGGAGACTCCGGACCTCGGTGCCAATAGAGTGCCACAGTGACGCGTCCTAAAACCCGGAAGTAAACTCCTTCCGGTTCCTTCGACAAAAACCAATGCAATTTCTCCATAGGATTTTGGAAAATAGCTCGAAATAAGGTCTGTGGTTGACACAAATTGAAGAGACAGATCACGTTTTGTTCAGTCGGATAATATCCACATAATAATCCACTATTTAAAATGACATGGAGGGAAAAGAGCAGTGTGATTTTTTTTCTGTAAATATGACTGGCTGAGTGAGGTGTCCAGAGCCTCCTTTTTTCTAGTGAGGCACACCTGTCTCTGTGCCTTGACATTTGTGTGCCTTCCTTAAACCTAAAGATCTCTCTCTCTCTCTCTCTCTCTCTCTCTCTCTCTCTCTCTCTCTCTCTCTCATATATATCTCTATCTCTCTCTATCTGTAGCTGATACTCTCTCTCTCTCTCTCTCTCTCTCTCTCTCTCTCTCTCTCTCTCTCTCTCTCTCTCTCTCTCACACTTCATCTTAGTTCCTGTGATCCCATTTGGCTTTGTACATAGTTGTATTTTGATGTATATTATTGTAGTTGAGTTTTGACAGCATCCATCAAACTAGATTTGTTGCCTTAATGCTCTGTTTTCTAATATTTCTGAACCACGTCTGTGTCTGCATATAATGTTTGTATTTAGTCTCCTGATTTTAAATGGGAATTAAATCATTTGAGTGTTCCCAAAGCACCGGTGTTCTGCAGTTTGTGTGGGCCTACTGTACTGTTGCACAGTTTATGCTGTAGAAACTATGTCCAGGACAAGGTTTTTTTAAGTTTTGGAAGATTCATAGCTAACCACACTGAAGATTATGGAGGTATTGATCAGTCTTCTCATATTTTTAAGGTTTTGAATAACCCACAGTGCCTTCATGTACCAGCGAAAGAGGCTTTTTGGATGATAACAATTTAAAAGTGTGTAGTTAAGACATGAAACGACTACAAACAATATTGTGATTATTTACCCATTAACCAGCATAATAACGGATTTGGTAAACTGAACAGTGAGCCGCCAGCGCGAAAATAAGTTTGCTCTAAAATTATATTAATAAATTACCATTATCATTATTATAAGCTAGAAAAGAAATGCAAAGATATGTAGAAAGTAAACGTATTTGAGTTACATGCAAAACAAATGTAACGTGGGAGAAAATAAGTTTCTAGCGAAACGTAATTAGATTTCAGTATCCTGAGGCTCTGAGCCCCATTTATTTTCCTCACAGACAACAAAAAAAGTCCGACATTATACGATTTAAAATAAAAACAATAATCGTGGCTTGATATTGAGTAAGAAGATGTTTTTATGAACCCCACAGCTTCCGGTCTTCCAAGACCCGATCGGACAAAAAGACGTGTTCCAGGCACGAAACATACTACCAATAGAAATACATTGCTTTTAAAATCGTTCTGTGTGACACGAAAAAAAGGGGAAAATCGTGTTGGTGAACACGAATCAATAGATTAAATGTCGTGACTATAACACGAAATGCCGTGAGACTGGGTTGGCAAGCTACATAACAGACGGGTAATAACCGGAAAAGCATGACATGGGACCTTTAAACGAATGAGTGATTCTTCCAGAATTTACTGTCCACAGTTGCTTTAAATGTGTGTGTATGTATGCTTTTGTCTGAGTTTATTAATGTCACAGTTAATTGTAGGTAATTTCCTGTGGCCCTGAGCTATAGGTGTAATGTTTTATTACAGCGAGCGCCAAAGCACTGCAGTTAAAATAGTTTTGAACGCTGAATGAGGCCAACTCAGCTGTAATCCAAATAACAGTTAGTCATCCAGCAGTTACTCATGTAACAACAGGCCTGTATACACAGAGGTGGGCGGGTCGGGGGTGTCAGTTTGACCTTTGGCTGGTGAGGCCCCCAGCCTCAGTGAGGGAGCCTGCCGAGCCGCTGATGTGTTTCCTTACATTAGCAAACATTAATGTAAAAGGGGGGAGGTGAAGTGTCTGTGGTGAAGGTGAATCACGAGGATAGTTCCCCGGTGATTTCTCCAGATCTAACCGTATAGATGTCATAATGCAAGCACTGGAGCATCAGCTCGAAGACTTATCTTGTGATCTTCCGAGTAAGATGCCTGTGATGTTGCATGTGTCTGATAGATAATGTAAAGTCTCCCTTTAAATAAATCCAGTTTGATGGGAGGTGTTAGAGATGAGACAAGGATTCCCTTCATTTCAGATTTAATTTTAATTGGCCTCTGTTAACTTCAAATTTCAAATTTCTGCTGAGTCGGATGAGGTTCATGTTCCTTTGTTAATTCAATAAACAATTAAATGTTTTAATTAGTTTTAATAACTTAAAGCACTACAAGAAAACATTCCCTCACTGTCAGATTCACTTTGAGTGTGCTTTATTTTGGTTTTAAATTAGTCCAAACTAATTGAACAAGCAAGACATGAGGAACCAGGATAATTAGACTGGGATGAATAACAGAAAATATCACATTGTTTCCTCTAGTGTGTATTGTGATTTTTGTCTGTCATGAGGAGGTGTGAAAATAAAGTGAAGAAGTTGTCACATTTCAGGAGCTAAACAGTGACTAGTTCAAACTAATACATGTCTGTTTTCTGTTTGCCTTTCCTCAGGGCAATTTCAACGATGAGTGCAAGTTCAAGGAGAATTTCCTGGCCAACAACTATAACGCCTACGAATCAGCGGCTTACCCTGGCATGTACATCGGCCTCAGCAAGACCGGCAAAACCAAGAGGGGCAACCGGGTCACCCCCACCATGACAATGACACACTTCCTTCCCAGGATATGACATTTGAGAACAAAACTCTCAACAATGCAGAACGAAGTCTGGCCACTGTTTGGTCCGATTTCACTGTCAGACTGCTCATGTCCTCCTTTTACAACCAACACCACATACCATAGTGTGAAACTGTGGCCCTGTGCATCAACTGTTAGTATTCACCAACAACACAACAGTATGTGGAATCAACACACACTGGATTAAAACAATCGGGGTCCAAATCACGTTTTATATTCACGCTAGACCATATCAGAGCATCACTTCATTATTAGCGTTATTTGCTGATTTGGACAATTTTGGAGTGGTTGTTGGGTTATTGAGGATGCTGAGTCCATTTCTTGCAATTCAGGATAAAAAACTGCAGAAAGTGTCTGATTTTGTTACATTTTGGGTCGATTTGGAATATTTAGGGGACTATGGATCATTTGGATTGAACAGATTGTCTATTTATTTGAAAAATAATTGTCCACAGTAGAGATAACAATTTTCAATATCCAATGGTTGCAACACTGCTCATGGTAGTCAAAATCAGCCCACCGGTAGTACAAATATATGGTGGCCCTGAAGTGCAAGTCAAAACAACATTTCACAAAACACTACAGCATTTCACAAAACACAACGACATTAAAAAAATTACGGAAAGGGTATTCCTTTAGGGAGAACACTTCTTGTTTGTGATTGGACAGAGCCAGCCGGAGAAGAACTGCTGTGATTGGTTGTTTCGCTGCCAGTCAAGAAATTACGCTTCGTGATTGGTCAGCACCCGACAGCGCCACGTATTTCCTGTTTGGTACTATTCAGCTGTTTCTGCACGAATTTTAAACTGAGTTTGGAAGAAGAAGAGATGGAAATCCTAAGGGAATATTTTAACAAAGGATATATTCAGGGATGCAAACTTGTCACCTTTCGGCGAAATTCGCCGTTTTCAATCCAAAATAGGTCGTTTGTGTGATTCATGTAGATCTGCAATAAAAATATTTTTGGGGTATGGGGGCGGGGGGGTCTGGGACCCGGAGTAATCTGCGGCCGCGAGCTATTATGTGCCATCATGACGCGCATGGTGTTATTTTTTTATATATTATAATGAAGCGCGAGCTGTATGCTCGAGTCTTCCTGTCTGTCGGCTGGACATGTCTCCGGCATGAGGGTCTAGCTTCAGCAGCAACATTACCTACGGGTGCGTTCATTAATAGTAACTGTGCGGTCCGGAGTCACTGTGGCACAGACTGGACCGCTGGTGAACAGCTGTTAGAACGGGCCGTTCGGGTGTTCAGAGCAGAGCTCCCTGTCGGAGCGGCAGAGCGTGATGTGAACTGAAAAATGTTTCTGTCGCAATATTATTGAAGGAATCGTTGAGCTAGCTAACTAGCATACATTGTCACTATCTGCTAACGTTAGCTTTAGCCTTCGTTTTCTATTAGTTTTTTTCATAGGCTATACAGAGGTGGTATAAGTATAGATCTTGTACTAGATTAAAAGTAGAAGTACTCAGATCTTGTACTAGAGTAAAAGTAGAAGTACTCAGATCTGGTACTTTAGTAAAAGTAGAAGTACTCAGATATTGTACTTGAGTAAAAGTCGAAGTACTCAGATCTTGTACTTGAGTAAAAGTAGAAGTACTCAGATATTGTACTTGAGTAAAACAGAAGTACTCAGATATTGTACTTGAGTAGAAGTACTCAGATCTTGTACTTGAGTAAAAGTAGAAGTACTCAGGTCTTGTACTTGAGTAAAAGTAGAAGTACTCAGATATTGTACTTGAGTAAAAGTAGAAGTACTCAGATATTGTACTTGAGTAAAAGTAGAATTACTCAGATATTGTACTTGAGTAAAAGTAGAAGTACTCAGATATTGTACTTGAGTAAAAGTAGAAGTTCTCAGATCTTGTACTTGAGTAAAAGTAGAAGTTCTCAGATCTTGTACTTGAGTAAAAGTAGAAGTACCAGAGTGTAGGAATACTCTGATACAGTAAAAATCCTGCAATCAAGATGTTCCTCAAGTAAAAGTAGAAAAGTATTATCATCAAAATATAGTGAAAGTAGCGACAGTAAAAGTAGTCATTGAGCAGATTGGTCCATTTCAGAATAATATATATGATATGTTTGATAATGATTGATCATTAAAGTGTTCTCAAAGCTGGTAAAGGTGCAGCTAGTTTGAATGACTTTGTATACTGCAGGGTAGCTTGTGAATTTACTCCAGGTGGAACTAAAGTCTGATTTTAAGACTTGATTATATTTCACATCATTCATCCAGATCTGTAAAGTAACTAAAGGTATTAAATACATGTAGTGGAGTAAAAGTACACCTTTTACCTCTGAATTGTAGAGGAGTAGAAGAACAAAGTAGCAAAACATTGAAATACTTAAATAAAGTACAAGTATCTCAAAATTGTACCCAAGTATAGTACTTGAGTTTATGAACTTAGTTACTTTACACCAGTGGCTATAAAGATAGAAAAACTAAGCCTTGCACAGAGGCATGAAAATACATTTTCAAAATGCTCAACAGTCCTGCCAAAAATATAAACTGACTGCTACACAATTCAAATAAATGCTTTTATATATTTCTATTAGATGTGACTCTTTGGCGTTTCTGTTATTATTAACACTGCTGCTTTAGTTGTTCTGACTGCTAAAATCCTCTGTTATTCCTCATTTTAAAGCCGATATTCCGTGGGGTCGGGGGGCTCGGGCCTCGGATCCTTGTCACCTTTTTCATACCTGATGAGTTTGCATCCCTGCATATGATGTTATCCTCGACATGCTGTCAACCCATCACCACATCAACATGTCCTGTTGAAATGCTGTAGTGTTTTGTGAAATGCAGTTTTGACTTGCACTTCAGGGCCACCGTACAAATATGACCACTTTCTGGCTAAAACTGCACATTTCAATCCAATAACCCCCAAGACCACTGCAAAATTGTGCAAATCTAAAAAGTTTTTTTTTTTAAAACTATTGTTTAGATGGGCTATAATGTCATTAATGGTAATGAATGCAACTTATGCTAATTGTGAAAATTGCCCACCATTAGCATGTACTGGGGACCCGTACTATACATTTCTAACATGGAATACGGCCCACACCTGAAACTTGTGCTTTTCTTATATTATACTTCTTAAATATATGTACAAATATATTACACAGTAGTATTCATGTGTTAATAAGCCCAATTTTCAAATAGATTCATAAAATCATAAAGTTAAAAAAAAAGCCCAATAACTTATTGATAAGTCCATTTCTGAAATGTTTTGAATAAAAAATGGCAGTTGTATCTAGAAAATGCCAATATTTGTACTTTCTGTGGGCTGATACATTTTAGATCAATTTTGAAGATTTAGGGGATCATTTGGATTGGACAAATTGTCAATTTTTTTGAAAAAGAATTGTTCAAAGTAGAGGTAATCATTTTCATCTTGTGCTCTCTGTAGGGACTTTAACGCAAAAAAGGGGGGGGGAATGGTTTGTCATGTGTTAATAAGCCCAATTTTCAAATAGATTAATAAAATCATGAAAAAAACACATTTTCTAACAAATCTTAGTTGATAAAAAAAAACGTATTTCCATAACTTGAAATAGACCCTCCATATTTCCCCTTATTATAAACAATCTGAGGCTCCTGCTGTAAGGAATGAGCTGCAACACTTTCAGTTACACAATAAAGTAAACCCTCTGGAGAGCTGTGAAGGAGGCTGTTGTATTAAAGCATATTCAAGCATCCTTTACATACATTTGATTGATTTTGCTAACTTATAACTTAAAGGGCCCATGTCATGGCCATTTCCACTGATCATAATTACATTGTTGAGGTATACTAAAATAGATTTATACTGTGCAATTTTCCAAACTCACATTGGTTTCGCATACAGCATCTCTGTAAAGTATGTGTATTCAGCAGTATTCACTCTCTCCACTAAACGACTAGTTGGAGCTCTTGCCCCCCCCTCCCTGTGAGCCTAGTGTGCTCCGATTGGTCAGCTCGGTTACTCTGTTCTGATTAGTCAACCACCAGAGAGGCTCCGCCCATGTCTAACAGTGCTTTTTTCGGCTCGCTCTTGTAACATCAGTCTTATAATGGCGTCGGTACAGCCGTATATTTTATACGCTAACTAACCGAACTGCACCTACAACTGTTGTTATAGAAGAGTGTGACGGCCCCAGGGCCTTTGTGCAGGTGTGTTGCAGGTCTTACGATGGGGTGGAGCTGAAGAGGCTAATCAGCGCGATCACGGACACCTGGCCGGAGCCGAGGTGCTATTAAGCCCAGCTGCCCGGAGTCACACGGCGGCCCCTGTCTCTCTCCAAAGCGGCTGCAGAAGGACGAACTCGGCGATCCTCTCCCCTCGACCACCTATCTCTGCATTTACCACAATAAATGTGCCGTGGTTTTGTAAACTTGTGTATGTCTCCTTGTCTTTTTGTTGTGGCCTACAAGCCGGTCATAACAAAGAGTAAGTTATTTTTACCTGTAATAAACTACTACTGTTTGATGAGAAATCAAATCATGGTTTGCTATATATGAATGATATGTTATAGGAGCAAATAATTCCGGGAAGAAAGGATAGGCCTACTAAGTATTTCCATTAAACTTTATTTTTAGAAATGTACAAAATGAACATAAATATACATATATACACGGTATATCATCAATTCCTCCCCGTTGTCGGCATCTTGCCTATCGCAGCCGGGGCTTTTTAGGACGATGCATCAGTGTGGTAGTCCCGTCATGTATTGTCCGGCAGGATCTGGCTGGACGAAATCAAATGCAAATCACAAAATATTAGAGAAACTTAGTTGTTTTAGATTCGTTAGTAGTAGTTGTGGTAGGAGTGTGGATCTATCTAATCCATCTATCTAATGAACACAGTAAGCTTGCCAGCTAATATGCTAACCTAGCTTTGTGTACTTTGGTAGCTAACACGATATGAACGCTAGCTCGGAGGAACGGCAACTATAATGTAGTGTAATAAAACTACTATGAACAAAAGCTAGTGGTTCATATTAGGC